ATAATAATAATAATAATAATAATAATAATAATAATAATAATAATAATAATAATAATAATAATAATAATAAATGCCATGAGTGAGCGCAGCAAACGAGGGACATTTCATATCGTCCTGAAACTGCTAAAACTGATATCCCCTCACTCCGATTATGTAACCTGTTTAATTATAACATACTTGTGGCTTTGTCAGGGTCAGAATTTATTTTAAAAAGAATCATTGCGCATGCCCCGGCCCAGGCCCAATGCAAAAATTATTAAAAAATAGACATATTATAGTGACCGAAAAGCAATATTAGTGACTAAAAAACGATATCAGGGACGATATCGTTTTTATTAGAATATTAGGGTTTGTAATCCAAGTGATGTACCGCCTTATTAGTATTCTCTATATAAAAAATACTAATGAGAACACGACAACAATAGATACTGCCTTATTAGTATTCTTTATATAAAGAATACTAATTAGGAGTGTTTTATCAGGTTTAAAGCCACTGCACGTGACATATTATGTTTGACATGATTTGCCAATAAGCTTATGAATTATTAATGAGTGTTTGAAATACATTTTAAGACCTGACCAGAAACGACTGCGAAAAATGCAGCGCAAGGTCCTCTGGTAGGAATTGAACCTACGGCCCTGCGATTCCGGTGTAGCGCTCTAACCAATTGAGCTACAACAAGTGAAGTGCAAACAAACCACATCGTTTTTATGTCACACTGTTATCGTACTGGTAAAGGCACAAATATGTGATAAGTTATTATTATGTATAGTTATTATTGAATCAAGTAGACGGTTGTAAATTACCTCATATAAATGAGATTTACAATTGTATGTCGCGAGCAAGTAAACTATCCCTGCTAATAATTCCTATCATCGGTTCCAGTGTACAGTATAGATCGTGACGATATCGGGAAGCAGAAGCTAGCGTGGATCGGGAAATTTACATCAGCTTTTATAGTAGTGAATATAAAATCATCACGTGGCAAAATATACGAATCAGACGGATTTAGTAAAAAAAAGGAAATCACGTTACAGAATATATTAATACAAATATATGGAAAACTACAACAAATATAAATAATATACGAAATAAGTGTAGAATGAAGTGACAATTAAAAGTATTGTCAATGACCATGAGGCCGGCAGTTTTTAGTTCAATTATCCACAAGTAATATAACCCTAGTCCTAAATATCCTTTAGTACCCTAAACTATCCCCTAGTATCCCCCGAACCTAGTTCGTATCATGAAACATCATTCAAAAATACACCACCAAACCCAAGGCATAAGTTCGCAGATATCCAAAATGTCTTCTCAAGGCAACGCGCGTGCAATCTTAGCATAAATGTAAGCGAATTTAGTTCCAAAACTAATTTTTACTTTAGACCGAACATCTTTTTATCAAGCTCAAAATAAATTTGTTCTAGGCAATTTTTGCAAATGAAACCAAATTGTCTGCTGGTAATTTACGTCTACTTTACTCATAACTTCTCTACAGGCCTCTCAACCTTCCTCGTCAGGCATATGTGGATATAAACCCGTCGATCCGCATCAATGGCGCACAAAATCGAAGCAGATGGAATATATCTCCCAGACTTTTCAATCTCTTCAAAAATGAGTACCATATACTTGATAATAGACGGCACCTGATCAAACTAAATGATAAATGGTATACTACAAACTTTTGAAACTCGTTCTGTTGGCGTAACACAATTCGAAATAACTGGCCTATACGTATTTTAGTAATCTTTATAGTATTCCTTGAATGGAACTGAAAAATAATAAGAAGGTATTCCAATTCTCAGAACAGTCACGGATTGGGAGAGATACAGTACAACTACCTGAAAAATACAATACTAAAAATTCGACGCTTCGAGCCTTAAAATTTAATTCGTCGGGAATTCACTAGTAGAAATTTAGGGTCTTCGCTTGAAACATCTAATTAGTTCAGCTTGTATTTGTTCTGGTAGTTGTATCTCTCTTAATCCGGAACTGTCTTGTTATCATCGCTACCTACACACTGGCACAGACTATTCAGACTTTTGCTTACTTCTATTGGAAAGTGAATTAATTTGAATGAAAAACAAGGGAAATAACAAGATTCATCCATTTTTCCCATCATCAGGTATATATACCAGTAAACCTTGGAAAAAGTGAAAGCCCTGTCAACAACTGTCTAGAATTAACCTAGTTCAAAATTTTCCTTCGCAATGCAATTATCCTTTCCAATTTCCTTCAATGTCGGTACTGATTTCGGTTCCATATCTTGGATGGTCTCCAGAGTGGCCTGGCCGTTTGTCTCGGGTAGGAGCATGGCGACGATGGAAGACTGCAAACAGAAGAATGCCATGATTCCAAATGGAAGCATCGTATGAATTCTTATCTGAAAGAGAAAACGAATATTCTGTCAAAATTATTTTTTTCAAAAGTTAATAATTACCGTTGATGAAACAATTGATCTAAAATGCGCATTTCAAAAAGATTCTAAACATTTTCAAAATGCTTTACTGCAAAATGATGAGACAGGACTGGTAAAAATAATTGTCTTCCTGTGAGCACAACCAGGGGCCGGTTGTATAAAAAAGTGATTAAAGTTAACTATGATTAAATGCAACTGTCATCCAATAAGAAGCGCCTATTTAAGAGTTAATCACTATTTAACTACAAAATAGTGATTAAAAAAGTGATTAAGAATTTTATACAACCGGCCTCTGGTATAAATTTACTGCGTGGCTCGGTCGACGTCCATATACAAACGAAAAAAGGGCGAGACAAATATGCTACTGTACGGACTGAATAAACAATTAATATCGTCAATATTCTTTTATTATATGGCTAAAAACAAGAGTGTTCAATAAGTTGTTCACACAAGTAACAACGGCACCATTTGAAGTTAAAATCGCAGGATGTTTAGTTTCTGTAAACAAATTTTGACCAGGATAAAACGACGACAACAAATTTTCTGATTTAATTAAGATCATAAAAATAGAACACAGAGGAGTTTCATTGAGTGCAGCTTCAATAGGTTTATTAATTCACGCAAAAAAAGCCGTTTAATGACAATGGCGGCAAGTAAGTATATAATAGGCGTTTTTATACTTGTAAGCAACATAGAATAGTAGAATAATAAGTCATTTCAAAATAAAATTTACCAAGGTTTCATATTTATTGTGGGTTTTTTACTGGAAAAAGAGTATAATTGTTAAGATTTTCTTCGCGAGCGGTCGCAGCGATCCGTACATGCATGAGGAATCAATCGAAATGCTGCAATTTGTATGGGCAGTTGCCATAAAATAAAGATTGTCTTTACTGGTCTTACTATTATTTAACCTATTTCACATTGTTTTCAATGGTATTTTACTGTTAATTTGGACCAAACAAGACTGCTCCAATGTCAAGTACCTTACACAAAATTCTGTCAGAGTAAAGGATGAAATATACTAATTTACATGAAGTATTTACTTTCATCAAAGTAAAATTAATTACATTATACTAACCAGCCAAATGACATAACTTGCAGAAATAGAGCCCACTATGGTAGCCATTTGACCAAAGCTTAAAGCCATGTTCCTGTTAGTGAAATCACAAAAACGTTATTCAGTGTGACAACACAAAAACAGGGAGACGAAAAACCCCTCTGTTTAAAATAGTCTGAGTTTCTTTTCGCATGATGTCTTAAGCTGGACTTGCAATAACATTACTAACCTTACGAATGTTGGGAACATCTCTGCCGTCCAAACAAGTACACATGAGTAAGCGTTGGTGATGAAAAACTTTGCAAATACTGCCATTATAATTCGGAAGATTGTATTTATTGACGCTGAAGAATGAATTAGATGTCTTTATCATATTGAAGTACTGCATGGGACGAGTGTCAACCATCGTCAGTTATCGTATGAGGAAGAGGATTTCCAGGGTAACCGGAAGAAACCAACCGCGCGCGCCCGACAAAATCCACCCGAAACCCCAAAATAATTTAACTTACATGCAGAACCCCACATTTTGCAACTTGAGTAAAATGTAAAAAATTCAAGAGTTTTATAGCAGCAGGTTTTGCTCGCAGATCCTGCAGGAAACGTAACCGAATTTCAATGAGCAAAGATTGGCAAAAGTGACACAAAGCGAAGGCAACCCGTTCCCGGGAGGTGGTTGTTTAAAAAAGTTACTGAAGTTACTATACGGTTAGTGCGAAAGTTATTTAGAGTTAACTAAAGCGTATTTTAGAGTTCATTAACTACTAGTTAACTACCATATAGTTCGTAAAACTTTTAACTGTTCAGAACGTACATTAAGGTCAAATTCTTGGGACAATATATAAGTTGTTTTCTAACAAGATGATTGTTCTGATACCCTTTACACCTGATTCTAAACTGAATTGTGTTTTGGACTGAACTCAAATTTTGGAGGTCTAATTGTCACTGAGGATATTGCAGTTCGATCCTTCCATTTTCATAAAGCAGACTACAATTATTAGTGCATTAAATTATACTTTTGTGTGCCCGCCAATGTGAGACCTCAGACCGAAGTTGTGAATAACACTAACATGCATGCTGCACTTTGCTATGTGTGGTAATATTTGTTGTGAAATGTATACCTTTTCTACTTTGTTCAGAAGGAATCATGACAGCAACAATTGAGGCAATAGAAGCAGCAATTAAATTAACTACTGTAGTTTTCTTTCGACCATACCTATATGTAATAGGAAAATGAATTATATGCACCTTGTATATTATTAATAATGAACAATTATTGGATGATATTTAAATTATTCACCGAAGTCGGTAAAAAATAAAAAGTGCAAAAACAGTCACCGAAAGAATACCTCCACACACTGTCTAACACAACTGTGTGGCTTTCTTTATGTTAGGCGACGCCGCACCTTCGTTTAGTACAAAAATGTGCTTGTCTGTAACCAGAACGAGGCAGGAAGCCATCTTGCTTTTGTCTGGAAATGAATTATGCAAGGATATTCGGAGCTGAGCAACCAGTGAAATTGCGCGAAAAACACTGTCCTCCTCCAGAGTATATGCTTACAAGAATGAATAAATATTCAGACCGAGGTCAATGTTTTCTGCCGACGCGAAGCTGTGGAGGAGGATACTAACATTGGCCTAGGTCTGTTTTTGAAACAACTCTTTCTGGTCAGTCGATACTATTAAAATGTCAAAATGCTATATTCTGATTTCTTCACTAAGAATAGGTAATAGGATGGTTTCGAGTGCAATTTGGATAAAACGTACACTAGTGAACTTTTCAGAGCATCAAAGTAGAGCATCAAAATAGCAGACCAGTGCTATTTGAGGACTTTGAAAAACTCACGAGTGTTTGTTTTATCCAAATTTCACGAGAAACCATCCTATTACGTATTAATAATATACATACGTTTATACCGGAACCGTCCACTGACAAAGTTTTGCTGCTTTGTTATGTCACATTATATACAACGGTAACGGCTTGAAAATCCACTCAACTATGCAAGTTTTGGTACTCATTTTTTAAATTACGATGAAGGCTTTTCCATTTGAAAAAAGATAAAAACCATATTTTCTACCCGAAGTCAACTTAGTTTACTTTATGCAGCGCGGCGCCATGTTTGTTTTGTTTTGAAGCAATCTGTGACCGTTACTTGAGGACTGCTTTAAACTGAATTGTTGATATTGTTTTCCACCAATCAGATCAGTTTGTTACAGATTTTTGTACTGTGATAACAGAAAATTGCACTGTGATTACAAAAATTGCACAGTGATAAAAAAATATTGCACTGTGATTACAAATTTTGCACTGCTGTTATTTGAGATTAACTGCACTGAAATCAATCAATCAATCACAGTCGAGTATATTTTATGTATATTATTATGACACAACAGAAAATTAGTTACACAACAGAAAATGCTACGATATACCATACGGGTGAAATGGAAATCGACCTTATGAGTTATGTGGTCACGAACATAAACATTTAACACTGTACCTATCTGCCGCCCAGACGGCACCAAAATTTGAAGGAAATTCAATAACACCAGTCAAAGCAAAAGTCAGATAAGGATTCCAACCAAGATCAACTGAACCGTAGGATACAGCATAGTACACCAAACTCACACTCATCCTAAACAGTACGATGATGCAAATACAATTAGAATGGAATTTAGAATTTGTGGATCCAGTGTATAAGTATATCGATAAAACAGCCTAGGCCTTAATTCCATATTAAATATTCCTTTTATCTTTCGTATGTGACGTCGTACTTACCAAATGCTACAATCTTAGACATAACCCTTGGGACCATTCTAGCCAATAGTGTAAAGTAAATGCCCATTGACAAAACAAGTTTCGTCACCCCCCAGTTCATTAGAGAGTTTACCGATACCAATACCAATATCGATGTCTTCACTTCCGTTCGCATTTTGGTACCGGGAATTTTAAAGCGTTAAGTTTATCACATTAATCGTCACCGAAAATGCGCGGTATACTAAACGACAGCTGAGCTAAAATTCCGACCAAAACATGACTCAGGTGATGCTAATAAACAAATAGTTTATGTGTTTATCGAAAAAAGTATGAAATATCCGATTTATATGAGTTTATCTGACAATTCCAACGACTTCCAAAACAAGGCCGACTTCAGTAGTGGTGACTTCCAATACACTTGTCCTCGTGCTACTTACGAGTAGAGCGCATGCGCATGACTTGTTGTTAGTATCGGTATTGGTATCGGTATCGGAAGTCGAATTTAAACTCTCTAAAGGCCTGATTCCACGGGCGCTTTTTCTCGGCGAAATGCGAAATATTTCGCCTGTTTCTTTTGAATTGTGTGCAATCAAGTAGAAATAATTTATTTGAGTAGTCGCAATTCAAAAGAAACAGGCGAAATATTTCGCATTTCGCCGAGAAAAAGCGCTCGTGGAATCATGCCTTAATGTTGCAAACTGTGCTATACTTTATGTTAGATTTATATTTGAAACACTGAACTGCGCATAAAAATGGACAGTAGATTATCACGTGACTTTTTGGATGCTGTTCAAGATGGCGTGGGATTGTAATAAGTAAAACAGTTTATTCTCTTTATATTTGGAATACTAACTAAAGTTTGTACATATTTATAATTATATTAAATGGTTATTGTTATACACATCTTCGAATCCTGATCTAGGATATTCAATATGAAACATGGTCGTTCTTTGAGCCGGATTGAAACGGATTGAAATTTGATATTTTGAGAACACTTCAAGAAATACGAGCCAATTTACGAGTAATTTGAGAGAATTAATGAGTTATTTGAGAAAATTTACGAGTCCTTCGGGAGAATCTACGAGTCCTTTGGGAGAATCTACGAACATATGAGATAATTGACGAGCTTCGAAAGAATTTACGAACGATTGAGTGAAATATTTACGAGATTTTGAGCGATATACGAGTCATATAAAGCGAACATCGAGACATTGGCAAATCTACGAGTATCTGAGTAAGTCTATACGGGTATTTGAGCGAATTTACGAGATTTTATTACACTTACAAGTATTTGGAATCATTATATACGAGCTTTAAAGAGAAATAAACGAGAAATTGCACCTTAGAACAATATACAGTAACTGTGAACTAAAGGGAATATTACAAGGTATTTATATACATTTTGAGAAGTTAGATAAAGAATATACACGTATTCGAGAGTGTAACATTGTTATTATGAGTGAAGAAGCAACAAAGAAACGTAAGATTCGGGGTAGACATAGAACCTCAACTAACAGAACAATAAATGCTTCATCAACAATTCTAGACGATTTTGATCCTTCAAATATACAACTTACCGAGAAGTTATTGCAACAAAGGATTACATTAAAGGAAAAACTAGACATTCTGCAAAATTTAGACAATGATATACTAGCTATTACTGAGGAGAAAGATATTAAAAAAGAGACTGAAGAAAGTGATCTTTTAAGAGAGAGAATACGTACATGCTACAATTGTCAGAATTGATTCTGTAGTGAGCCCTATAAGCCTACCTCCACCATCAAGTCCATAAGGAACTCAAAAAGAAGGGAATTATCATAATTCTAGTACTATAAATCATTCGTCGGCCAAGATAAAGCTACCAAAATTAAGTTTAAAGAAGTTTAAGGGAGATATTAAGGAGTGGACTCCATTTTGGGACAGTTATACTTCAGCTATTCATGACAATCCTGATCTAAGTGATATTGATAAATTTAACTATTTGAACTCCCTACTTGAATCAAAGGCAGCAGAAGCAATTGCTAGGTTAAAGATTACTTCAGCAACAGATTATTAATAAGCAACAGATTACTTCAGCAACAGATTATTAACAAGCAACAGATTATTAATTCGCATATGGACAGCCTTCTTCAACTACCTGCGTAACAAGCCTTCATGATGTTCAAAGTATTCGACAGCTTTAAAATAAGGTTGAATCGCACATCAGAGGTCTGAAGTCTTTGGGAGTAGAGACTGCGAAATATGGTAATCTAATGATCTCAATATTGATGCAAAGGCTGCCACCGGGTTTACGTATTATTGTAACAAAGAAGATGCAAGAGGATGAATGGTCTTTGGATAAACTTATGACAATCTTTCGACAGGAATTAGAGGCTAGAGAAAGAGCAAATCTGCAGTGTTTACCTTCGTCAAAGTTCAGTTATCAACGAACTAAACCGGGAACAGCTGCTGCTCTTTTCGCGGGACTGCATGACACTACCTGTTCTTATTGTCAAGGAAAGCACTTATCTGCAAACTGCAAGACAGTGACTAATGTAGCTGCAAGGAGAGATATTCTGAAACGAAGTGGACGGTGTTTTGTATGTTTAAGAAAAAACCATATTAGTAGGAAATGCCAATCGAACATCAATTTTTTTTAAATGTGGTAGACGACATCATGGAAGTCTGTGCATGGGCGGCCAACTCCGACAACAACACCCTAATTCTGACCCACCAGCCAACCAGCAAGAACCTCGGCATCCACGTCAGCCCGCAACAGAGACTGAGAAAAGGGACGAAACCGGAATTGGTGCAAAGAAATTACAAGCACAACCGAACAGAGAAGGAGATCAACAACAACAACGGCAGCAAGCTACTACAAGTCAAACCTTGTATGTTGGGACAAGAGCATCCATCTTGTTGCAGACAGCGAAGGTCAACATATACAAGCCCGGAATGCTGGAAAACAGAGTAAATGCTCGACTTATACTGGATAGTGGGAGCCAACGTTCTTTCGAGACAACCAGAGTGAAGAATCAATTAAACCTTGATGCAGAAGGGACAGAAAACATCATGATTAAGACATTCGGAGGCGAAGCAGAGGAACTACAAACATGTGAATTTCTGCACTTCAACATTGAGACAGTATCTACTTATCCCGATCTTTCACTTACAGCATTTGTAGTACCCACAATTTGTCAACCTTTCAGACACCAAACCACCCTAGCGGCACAGGAAATTTACCATCATCTCGAAGGTCTTAAGAGGCCGTCTCCGTAAGAACCGACCACTGATTTTTCGAAAATCAACCTTGCCTCTAACTTTTCTTATTTATTAGACTTAACAAGCATACTACAAAATCACATTCAGAATTTTTCATCTCACGTTATTTCTCGAGATTTTTAAACTTTTGTTCCTTAGGGCTATAATTGGGATCTCAACGCTTTGGCTAACGTAAAAATACCACATCTGTATCCCTCAAATGCAAAGACGCACGGCCCGCTTTCCAATTTTTATGTTTATAATGTGAAAGTTAAGGTCTTTGCTAGAACATATCAAGCATCTACACATTTCAAACCCTTTTAAAACGTCTTTTTACACGAGCGTGCTTCAAGGTACTTTTTCAACATGGGTTAGGTCCTCAAAATTACATGTTTTTACGATCGGATTTTGGAAAAGTGGGACTACCCACAAACATCTACTTAAATATTTTTTAAAATACTAATTGTAAATTATAATTCCATGAAAACAAAAATTGGGGGATATTTTTCCAAACTATTTTAATCGACGCGTGAAATTTACAATTCTTTGGTGCTCACTGCATGGAAATGACGCTGACAACCCATTCATTAAAAGTTCGCGGATAGTTTACAAATTCAACACATGCTAAAAGTTTTGAACATAAAAACACTGCTTTAGTTGCATAAATCTTATGTAGACCACCTGTATGTTTCAAGCAGCCGCAAACGTTGTTTCAACAGTCGCACCACGCAGGTAATAACGTAATGTAAACAAATGTGTCTATATAATTATTCGCATGTCGCGAAACCCCGCTGCGAGTGAAACATCGTGCATTATAACGCCAAAAAATGATAAATAAGATCTTGCTAAAACATAAGTGAATCATATTGTAGTTATATACCACAAAGTTTATCAAATTAAGATAAAAAATCAATCAAAAATACAAAATATTCGTCCGTCTATATTTAGGATACTCTGAGTGCGAGATTGTAAACAAACAGTGACCCATTGGGTTATATACTAAATTTTTATCTAGACAAGAGGAAGGATATCTTTTACAGGCACAGCTAGAAAGAGCATAATAAAATTAGTATAATTGCAAAGTTTGGTCGCGAAATGTTGTAAAATATCGAAAATAAGGGCTCGCGAAATATTTATACGCGGCCAAATTGATACCGTTTTGAGAACAGGGTATCGATTTTCGCCGCGTAATAAATATACAAAATTTGCAGTTATACTAATTTTATGATGTTCTTTCCAGCTGTCTATATCCAATTTCGCAATGGATCCATCTATATCGAAATAAGGGAAGCCTCACATATCTTTTTTTCCACTAGAAACGTCATATGTTCGGGGGGGGGGGGGGGGGGCCCC